CTCTTTGAAAAGATTGTTTTCAATTTACATCAAAGTGAACAGGCACATATATCATTACATGATTTAACAAAACATGATGTACCATCACATATTCATTATGAATATCAATGGCCACAAGCTCCTTTATCAACATCTAATAAAGCTCATATTGATTCGGATAATTTATTTATTCATCCTCGATCAATAAATATATTTTGGTGGATGCCAAAACTTGTTAAACCAAATATTTTATTCAAAACAGCAAAAGAACATACACATAATCAATAATATTATTTCGTATTTTAATCATTTGAACAATAGTTGTAGTCGTATTAATAAATAGCAGTTTTTAGTTTTTATTTAAGTAATTTCCTTATTATATTTTATTTAGTTTAACATTCTTTGCTTATCTTTCTAATAGAATATAGAAAATTTTATCATGAATCAATTAAATATTTTATCATGAAAGAATCTTAAATAGACTCAAATGGAATTTATTCATGTTTGAAACAAGACAAAATATTAAGTTTATTTTCGATGTTTTCCATCTCGTTTCTTACTCATAGAGTCAATGAAAACAAAAAAAATAAGACTTATGTACTTCAAACAAAAAACTTTTTATCTTTTGTACAAGTAATTTTTTCAGGGTTTCACTAGAGAATTTAAATATTCATTCGAACTAATATGGTATAAAGAAGGCGACATCATCTCTAGAGATCACTTTTACTCCGTTTGGAAAGTTGCTATTCGTTTATCTCTTTCTCTTACTAATATTTACGTGAAAGAAAAAATCAAGATAAAACACTAATTTCAATGTTATATCGAAAAAAAAAATGAGATTAGCAGATTAACTTATCACAATTTTGAATTAAGACTTTAAATAAGTTTAAGGAGTTTTGTATGTCGGTCATAATCAAGTAATATTTTTCGACTAAATAATTTAATCATTGATCGAGACTAAAAATCAAAGAAAAACTATGCTATTCGTTGGTTGAATAGCTGAAAAAATGAATTTTTTTTGTTGAATATGATACAAATAATTTTCTTTTAATTAAAACTAGAGATCAAGAAAATGACTCCGAACTTCTCTAGTCATACATGTTTATGTTGAATTTTTATTTTATATAATAAATTAACATTTATGAAATATGAAATAAAGTTCTTTGTTTTCATATTGAATTTCGAATAATTTATTCTTTTGGAAAAATTATTCGAATGATTATAATAAAATTTACTTCAATCTATTTTATCTATCGATTTTTTATATTATTATTTTAGATAAAAAATAAAAAATCTTCGATTTAATTTTCAAAATTAAATCTAGAGAAACACATCTGATTAACTCATTCATTCCAGTTATTAGAATCTCGTCATTTTCATGTTAAAAATTTCAAAATTATTTGATAAATCTATCATTATTTTCTTTTTTTTGCTTTAGATAAATGACCGAAGAAAATTTAGAAGAAGATGTTCTCTATGTTCTTCATCAATTAGTTGAACAAATGGATGAAGAAAATGATGAATATAATTCATATGTTCATATATGTGATGATTGTTCAATAATTGATTCCTCTGTAAAACGTCAAATTCGTTCTGAACGAGAATCAACAACAAATTCAAATATTGATATATATTTATGTGATAATTGCTCTCGAAAACGTCATGATGATGCACAAAAAGTTTTACAAGATTTAGAACATTTAGCACATGAAGTTGAACAACGTTTACAAGCAATTGAAAATACTGAAAGAGAATTAGATCAATGGCGAGATGCACAATTACAAAAAAATCGAGACTTTTGGGATGGTAGAATTTTATTTTTTTATTTTAAAGAAAAAAGAAAATTTATTTATTGTTATAGAATATCGTCGTCAAGTTGAAAATTTTTCAGCATGTCGTATTCGTACACTTCAATATGAATATACAATGCGACAATTAAAAACTCAACGAATAATGAAACGTCTTAAATGTGCTAAATATATAGCTGAAAATATTGATCAATTACGTGAACAATTATATGATTTACTTCAACCATCATTAATTGATTTACTTTCATCGGATCAATTTAAAACTCAATTTTCTTTATCTTTATCAACTAATGATGAGAATGAAAATTCGACAACAACATTTGATCATCGTCGAGAACTTTATCAACAACTTGAAGAATTATCTTGTTTAGATAAAGTTATTGTACCTGGAGATGATAGTACTGTTGACGATGAAATTAGAGATGAAATTGATGAATGAAATTGTTTTTTTCATTCAAATTTCATTCAGTAGACATTGTTTATTTATTTCAATTATTTATATCAAAAATATTTGCGTGTAAAAATTTTTATAAAATAAGTTTCAAATCGATGAACTTCTTTTGGTAAAACGTGATGTTATCAATTAAAGAATTCAATCTACAGAAAGTATTTCATTAGTGATCGTTACATTATTATGTCAAGTTAGGAGTACTACAAAATTTTTGATCCATACAGGTTGTTCATAGACTTCGTCGTTTCACTATTACTTGCTTTCTTGACTTTGTGAAATAGAACCCATCGAGTTCACTCTAGATTTGTATACCATTGAATCTGAATCTCAGTTTAAGAGGACCTTCGGTACACTTAAGCTTTTCCTGCCTCACAATAGGATTTAGTATTTAGAATGATCTATTTTGGCTAGAATTTTTAGAGATAAGTGACCCCGATGAGAAACGTTTCTGGTAAAAACTTCAGTTTGATACGTCAAACTAGATCGAACTTCCGGTTTATTTATACTTCATTCATGGCCTTTAGGAGAAGCTCTATAACTTCGTCATTATAAGAGCTACACAGCTCGGAATGGTTTTAATTTAAAGCTAAAAACCTATGCGTAGCTTTTGTCCGAACAGAATTTTTAAATTCACTTTCATTCATTTTTTATGATCATTTTAGTACATATGTTAAAGTAAGCACAAAAAAGTCACTCCATGCCAATAAAACTGGCTTTTCTCAATACAGAAATCAACAACGAAAAATCTGGTCGGACAAAAGTTAACTCTCATTTAGACTTTTAAAACAAAAAACAACATTTTGGTTATATCTTAGACCGAGCGAGAGAAGTTTCAATTTTTCTGATTGAAAACTTTAATTCAACATTCAGAAAAAAAAATATTAAAATGTCATATTTATTAATATGTTTAAGTGAAATTTCCATTGTCATACTTAAATTATATAAGAATATTTATTCAATACTGATGCAAATAAAAAGGAAGTCGTTTCAAAACAAAAAAAACACGATAGGTAGGGTTGACGTTTCTTTTGAAAATCTGTTAAAATTTCATCTTTTTTTTTCGAAAAAATGGATTTTTGGAGCGGAGAAAGCATTAAGAATTTGAATCAAGGTTTTTTCTAAATTCTTATTCATTGTATTCGAAAAGAAAGAGTAGCACTTTGTTTTATTATAACATCTGCATTTGCTTATTCATATAAATACGAGAATGAAATCCATCATTTTTATTATGAATTAAGTTCGAACAAGCTCCATTCTCCAGACGTTTTTGATTTTTAATACAGGAAATGTTACATTAGATCTTCAATCTGAAAGATATTTAATAGTTGATTCATGATCATTTATTGTAGGATACTTCGTTTATATTTTGAATGACGAACTTCTTGGAAAGAAAATATATTTTCTAAATAATAAGTGGTTATTACGGAATAATCCATGGTTTCTATTTAAGATCAATCGGTTAGACATGATTTTTCGATATTTTGAAGGTTTGTTTTAATAAAACAGGTCATTACTATTTAGGAATAATTTGGATTTTAAACATCGTTTATTAATCGTAATAAATGACGTTTCATTATTATAATTAGATGCACACATAATTTTTTGTATAATATTTTTTGGGTCAACGAAACCTATATTCATGTATATAAAAAATGTGACATTTTATGATTTCTTTCTTTCGTATTTTAATGATTCATTCTCATGTGAAAACATTTTCTTTTTAATATTAATGAAATGAAAATATTTTTAATATAGATAACTTTTTCTCAATATACTTAATAATAAAGAAAAGAAAGAAAAATAAAAACCGTGCTTATCATATGATGTCAAATTATAGTCGGAAGAAGACGTGGTTAGACATAATTTGTATAAAATATTATCGATATGAAATATTTACATTTGAGTGTCTATTATATATGCATCTAACCTTTATTGCTTAATTTACACGCAAGTATTTTCTTTCATTCATGCTCTTATTCACCAAATAAACTTCGTTTAAAAAAAATGGTATTTCTATTAGATTATTTTCCGTCTGAAATTTTACATAGGATATTCGCATATCTTTGGGCGAATGAAATTTTTCACTCATTATATAATATAAGTCATAAAATGGATTCTATTCTATATAGTTATAATAATTATTATATAGATTTTCGTAATTTACATAAGAAAATTTATGATCGTTTATTAACGAATTTGAAAGACAAAATAAAATGTTTAGTTATTTCAAATGATTATTCAGTTCCTTATTTTGCACATATTAGCAATTTTTTAGAACAATATAATTTATCTGAATTTATTCGACTTGAAAAACTTTCACTTATTGATATTGATGAAGAATATTTTCTTCATATTTTACCAAATATAACTAGATTTAGTAAATTAAAATGTCTTAAATTGGATAGACTTCCTTCGTATACATGTTGGAGATTTAAAAACATTTTATCACGATTAATTCGATTGGATTTGCCTGATGCAGCATTTTTTGATCAATTATCAGAAGAATATATTCAAAATTTAAAATGTTTATCTGTTGTTCGTTGTACATTTGAACAATTACAACATCTATTTAATATTGTACCACGAAAAACACTTCAAGCGTTTGCTATAACAGATGGAGTTCTCTCAACTATTGGAGATAATTGTTGGCCACAATTTGCTCGACTACCCTATAAACTAAAACGACTCAATTTACAAATTGACTGTAAGTTTCTTTTTTTTTTAATAATTGATGAAATTTCAATAGGAATCTATATAAGATAGTTCTGCTTCTTAGTTTTTTTGTTTTCGGTTGATCGTGTAGAAAATTCTTTGGTAAAATTTCAATTTAACATTTTTTATATTAGTTCATCTTTTCTAATACATGCTGATAAACAAATGTTCATATTATTATCGAATTAACATTATTTATCTAGATTTTACATGTATTCAAAGAACTATGAAAACTATTTAAAAAAAAAAAGTGATTTCGTAGATCCTTAGTACAATATGTAGAAAAATATTTGTTTTGATTGACAGAGTTGACTACATGTATTGAGCATTGTTTGATAGTTTAAATAAAAAATAGTCAAACAATTTCTGTTTGATTTTTGAAATCAAAAAGAATTCAAAGAAAAATAATGTAAAATGATCTCTTTTTTTTTGTTTTAGTTCAATGTATAACATTAAATGAGTTAGAAGAAGTACTATCACAATTGCCTCGTTTAACTCATTTGGATATAAAAGGTGCAGGTGATATCGATTTAGCTAATGGTCAACAATGGGAAGATTTTTTACATGCAACTTATGGAAATCAATTAATTGAATTTGATTTCTGTTTTACAATTTGGTCCTATACGAGCATGGATACAAATCAAATTTTGGAACAATTTTCTCGTCCATATTGGTTAAATCGTATTCGCCCATGGTATATCTCATACAATGACCGTGGTCTAATTTATACAGTCCCACGCTATGCATCAACATGTTCTAGATCAGATACTATTTTAACATGTCAAACAACAACAAAGGATAAAAGACTCTTTTCAAATACAATTAATCAATTAATAATACATAATCCTACAATAATTCCTGAATATTGTTTTAATTATGTTGATTTTTTACGAATTAGTAATGATGCTATTGATTCAACAACTGATAATATATCATCAATTGTTAATTTATCACGAATAAAACAATTTGAAATTTCAACAACAATTCCATATGGTTTACTAAATCGTATGGATAATTTATATCATTTATCATTAATTAATATAAATTCTTTAGTATTAAGTTTACATAAAGTTAATTGGCATTTAAAATTTGAACAAATTCGTGTTCTTGATATAATTTATAATTCAAGAAATCATCGTTATACAGATGTTCGACCAGAAGTATTATGTCCAATGTTTCCAAATGTTATGCGATTATCAATGAATGGAATGGCTATACGTCGAGCTTATATTAGTCGAATTATTGATGGATTTCGAAACATGATTTATGGAAAATTTCAAACTAATTGGAATAAAGAACAAAAAGAAAGAACACGAAAAGATCTTCAAAGAGAAACTTGTAGATTAATATCTAATAATGATGAAACAAATTTTTCTTTTCATTTTGAATATATTTATTTACATTTATTTATTTGGGATACACCACAATAAAATATTTTCATAGTTTTAAACAATTTTTTATATTGTTCTTACTATAATGTCTTTCATGTTGATAAGTTCCATTTGTAGTTTTATTTTATACAAATATCGATGCATTATGTTTCATAATGATTTTTAAAACTTCAAAAGATTTTATCGAACTTTACTAAACTCAAGAAAACTTGATAAGACTTCAAGAATCATAGAGGCTACTATTTTCCTTTTGACAATCATCAAGAGATAAGCTTGAGTGATAAGATGAAAAGATTTATTTTTTTTTTGCTGTATATTTTTCATTCATCATTTTTTCTAAACAAATATATATATATGTGAAAATGTTTGTGTGATAATATGAGTACCTCAAGCAGAATTTCTCACATTTTAGAAAACTAGTTTTTTGATTTTTTTTACTGCTATTTAACAATTCGTTAGGTTACTTCTCTAACAATTTTTTCATGGTTGATACTATAGTATGTATACAAGTAAATTTAAGAAGCATAGATAGAATATTAGGCGTAGATTCTATGAGTGTAACACTAAAAATTCTTAGTGATATTATAGTGTATACACTGAGTCGTTTACGGATCTCCTAATTGTAGACTTAGAGTAATAGCTGTTGCTAAAAACAAATTTCAGAGAAGATCTGATGGCGATAACCCAAAATAATTACTTTAACATTATGATTTAAAAGGACTGAAGTATTTTTTTCTATAATGCATAAGAAATAATTAGAGTCACATGAATCAGTCAAAGTTTTTAATTAGTTATTCTGTATCGAAGATTATTGGTCAAAAATTCGTCATTAACTCTCAATATATGGAAATCTTTGCGGTCTGTAAATGAAAACATTTATATGAAGATCGTTCGGAAGATTTCAATAGAAATTGTCAATAACCTTTAAAATCTTTCTTAGATGATTTATTTAAAAAAATACGTAATGTAAAATAAAAGAAAATAAATTAATGTATCAAAGATAACAACATTAATATTATATTTTTTTTCCGATTAAAAAAATATGGTACATATAATAGGAAGTTTTTAAAGTCATGTTAGTTGAATATCATGCTTTGAAATAATCTAATTAATCATCAAAATAACCATTGAGTATCTTGTGTAGTCACTGAATCAAAATCATGATAAATATTTGTTGGATTCATTTGTAATATATAGATTGGATAAATCATTCTTATCACTGACATTGTTATTTATATATTATTGACGATGACATACCTCATCGTTCTATTCGATGGAAATACGATAGTCATGATATCCATAATAATATCGTTATTGCTCGTATTTTTACCTGTAGCCATGTGAGTCAGATATAGCCATTTTCTCTCCATTTCATAATATAATCATTAAATTCAGTAGAATACGTATTTTCGTCATTAGTGATTGGATAGTTCATTTGATATGAAAATATTTTAATGAATTTGAGTATATTACATTAATTGAAAATCATTCAGCAAAACAGACTTCTTTGTCATCAACAGTTCGAATTAGTTTTTATGGAAAAGAATTCGAATTTATTTCTTTATTGTATGTTGTTTTTGGTGGAGCTTGGAAAGCTAGTTGGTTGTTCATTGACTTCCTGCATTGAAGGAGAATTCATCTACTGATTGTCTGTAATATGTATTGTTTCTGATTGTGTGTTTTGTTTAATTGACTAGGTTCAGAGTTTGTTGTTATCATAGGTCGAATACGAGTTTGCCACAACAATGTTCTTTTAAAACCGAACAGCAGACGTTGAATTAAAAGTTGGCGAAATAGTTTGCTTGTCAGAGTATTGATAAAGAAGCTCTTACTGAAATTAATGTACATAACGAAATTAGATACTTGTAAAAAAAGCTTCTCTATAGCCTTTCGCTCGGGACTTTTGATGGCATTCATTGAGAGCACAAAATATGAGTAGTATACTGTTCGAATGCTGAGCAATATTGAACTGATCAACAGTTGAACAAGTGTCATAATAATCATTTGAGTATCAGTACGGCTGTACGTCTGACGCAATTGGTGCTTATTTTGGCTGGCGATTCGTCGGCGACTCGCTCGTACATGATAGTAGGTGATCAGACCACATATAAACATGGTACTTTGAGGAATTATGTTTGTCCAGAAGATGCTATAAAAAGAGAGAAAACGAGTGTAATTACCAGGTTTTGGTGAACAATCTGGTCGAAGATCAAAATAGTAAAGCTGATGTACAGCGGAGAGACTATAGAGAAGAATCGGGATGCATGTGATGCGATAAGCCATTTTGATTTGACTAAACGAACGAAGAGTTGTACTTTGCGATGTCGATAAACATCGATCAAGTGCAGCCAGCACGAGATAACCGGTAGAAATGCATGGTAGTGTCCATGTGAGAAATATACGTATTTTACAGTAGACAGGCGATGTATTCTTCAGCGTACTTCTATAGTGATCGTTCTCTAGTTTTGAAATAAGACCAAAGTTGAGATAAGCAAAATCGAATATAGATGACATTAAAAAATACCATCCACATGAGTTTCGTCGTAATTGTTTGGCTGTGAATGTTAATAAATTGAGTATGCATCCAAAATTGCCCAAAATGAGTATAACAAACGGAGTATAGAAAGTTATTCTATTGGTAAGCGAATCAATTGATCGAACGTTCATTCTTATTGATTTTCAACTTTGAATGTGATGAAGAAGCATCACAAAACCTTTATATGGGCTCAGGTAAATAAGAGAAATAATGGTGTCGAATTTTTTATTCCGTCTGAAGTGCATGCATTAGGAAGTAAATTTTTTCTTTGGTCAAACTACCTGCAATGTGATTATGAACACAAAGTGAATGGTATAGACTATAGAAGCAGCTATGTAACACTATTATTTGTGCTAGAATACTTACGCTACTTCCTCTTTCATATTTTCTTTGCATCCGATTGACACGACAAATATAATCCTCATGCATGGTACATAGTATCAAATTTTTTTCAATTAGTAGTAGACGTATCATATTCCTGGGAGTAGAAAAACGTTTCCTTGTGTGTTCTTTGCTTGCTTTTGCCATTTTCTTGGTTGTGTCATAAACAAAATCGATGTCGTTGTTTCAGTTTAATATAGCAGTCTGTGAAGATAGCATATCAACAAAATGGAAATCTTTCAATATAATAGTAGCAAGACCTATCGAATAGAATATCACATGTGATTCAAAAAAAAATAGAATTATCTTACCAGCAAAATCCATCACTACCTTAATGTTTCGAATATTTCTCTCAATTGCTTCTAATTGAATTATCTTTGTAGCAATGATGATCAAATGAGCATTGCTTATTAACAACATCACAAAAAGGTCACTGTGAATGATTCATAAAGTTTTGGAAGTGACTATTTGACTGCAACATTCTCTATATCTGTATGAGAATTTTCTGCTTAACAACTACTTATTTGCCAACTATGTGTGTATGCTAACAGTTGTAATTTAATTACAAACGCAAAAACGACTGTGTTTACTGTGAATCAGTAGAACAGAATTAGCAGTTGCAATAGGCATCTCACGAAAGGTTTCGAGTTTTTTCATGAAAACGACTTTTTAGAGAAGTTTTCCGATATATTGTTGCTAGAGTACATGTACCTAACCACTAGGTGGGCTTTGTTCGATCACTGTTATGCACATCTTTTCTAAAGAAAGCTTATTAAAAATATTTTCGACTATGTATTAATAAAGCTGGTTGATTTGTTGAGCTGAGACGAACTAAAACCTGACAATTGGTTTCTAACATAATTCCAATTTTGATTATTTTTACTAGTAAGTTCAGTAATATTATCCGATGTTTTAACATCTCGTTTCTCGTATTGAAAAAAGATTTTATGACCAACATTAGGTGTTTCGGAATGTTACAAACAATAATGTGAAATTATGTGGGTATGCTGTATATAATACAAAATTCAAATAATTTCCTTTAGATTAATTAATGTATCATTCGATAGAGTATGAAAAGTTCATTAGAAATACATTATTTTTAAATCGAATCGATCATATTTTAGCAAAAACACATTCAAACAATTTATAGTAATTTTTTAAAGGATTATTTTCCAGTTCGACATTGAAAACCGAGTTAAAAATATCACTTGATTGGGATTGAAATGGAAGTGTCGTCAACCTGAGGTTGCTGAGTAAGACCAATGGAACACATTTTTATAGTATTCATAGGCAATTTTGTACATCCCTAGTGTGAAAGAGTCTGACTATAAGGTAATTACGAAAATATGAAAATGAAAAGTAGAGTTTCATCAAGAGCCTAAATAGCTGTTTCTTATTTCGACAAGATTGTTCTCTGATCGATCGATTCAAAATATCTTCTTGCTAAATAGCGTCAGCTAGTAAAGTGCGTTATAACTCTTATCGGTTTGAATAATTTTAAATCGACGATAAAATGAGGGAACACAAAATTGATGGATTTACCTCAACAGCTAGATGAAAATAATAAAGGATAGTCGTTTCTAAAAAAAGTCAAGATGAGAAAAATATAAAAAACTACGAGAAACTTAAAGAAACTCTTAGTAATGGATGTGGGTGTTGATCTTCTCTTAATCAACACCAAACCCACGCTCTGGCTGCCTGATTCCGATGAGCTGAATGAAAGGTAAAGTGAAAAAGCTACACCCATCATTATCAAAGCAAAACATTTCTTCTATATATCTCATGCATGAATATGAGCGAGCACTCACATGTTGAGAATGTTCTCGCTCGTCATCAGACAGATATTTGTCAAATTTGGCAAACAGGACATGAGATCTTCAAACTCATTGACTCTAATAGCACTCGAAACATAGGAAAATGCACTGATCCATTGGACTCAAGAGAGCTAGATTGAACATATTTGATAATTCAATGAAAAATCTGCTGCATACTATCATGATAGCAAAGATGAGAACAACAACGACTAGAGCATGGCTACAATGAACAAATATAGAGGAATATTGGAAGAAAAAGATTCATCACTATGTTTCTATCCAAGTAACTCGCTCGTTGTTTATCTTGAGTAATAGACGAGTAAGTCTCATTATAGAATAAATAATACTAGAAAATAAGGTTAAGTGTGTCACAAGTATTAGTAATAAGTTGCATAACAATATCGTTATGAAAAATATTGGTGTTCTATAGTAATTACTGATATATTGCTACAACATGCCGAACAAAATATGGTTCATTCTTATACGAATGAACATACATGTATGAAAACAGCACGTTCTTTAAAAAACAGCTCGAATGCTTTTACAGCACTGAAAACTTGAGAAACTACAATGAAAATAATTGTGTCAAGTCGATTTTGAACATCAAAATCGGTCGCTTTCTTTAGATCAATGAAAAATAAGTCCCACTAACAAATCCATATTGATGGAGGTAAGCATTTGTGATAGTCTCAATGCCGAATTATGTATAGCATAGTGGAGCGTTCGATATGATATATAAAAGATCGTTGCTGTCACTGAACAAACTATTTTAAATTATTGCTTACATAGGAGATGCTCAATATTTGCATCATTATTTTAACTACATATAATAATAAACATGGATTTTATATAATGATTCGTAAGTGTTGTATTGAGCAACAACACATAATAATGGATGAGATCAACCATTGATCACATATTTTATTTAAACTTTTACAGTTCAGATTTATCATATGACGAAAGCACATGAAGATAATAATAATAATAATAATGATAAAAGGAACAAAATTTCTTTTTGTTTTTTTTTCTTTAACATGTGTTAAATTTTCGGTCCTATATATGCGACCATCATCGGAACGATAACGACGAGAATGTAAAAAAGATGGTCGTATACGCAGGATCAAAAATTTAACAAATATTAAAGAAAGAAAAACAAAAAAAAATTTGTTACTTTTATGATAATTATTATTTTCATGTACTTTCATAACATGATAAATTTAAACTGTAAAAATCTAAATAAAATAAAATAAAATGTGATCAATGATTGATCTCATTCATTATTATATGTTGTTGCTCAATAAAACACTTACGAATTTTTATTTTACCTATTATGTGTTTCTTCCAATGCGAAGATGTCTATACTCATTGAAAACTGCTTATATACTTAATGTAATTTTGTCAACTACTTCGGCATTCTCGACTTTTACACATAAACAAGGCAGTTGTGAAGAACTTTGATATTGAATAGTGCGATTGATGCAGAGAGAAAATGCTGGTATCTATACATTCAATATAGAACATGTTGGTGTTTTCTTTTCTCAAATGTATGTTCGATGACAACACGGACATGCTTATCGAGATACATCTCTTATAGCAAAAGTTTTTTAAAGGCACGGAGAGAATTGCGTTTATACTCTTACAAATTATTTTTCTTTTTCTTCACGAATGAATCACATTGGCTGCATTGTTATTTGCATTTTTCGTCCTCTTACCTCTATTACATGCGTGGGTGTCTTGCAGTTTATAAAGAGTGGTGCACATGGTGTGGTTGCATCATTGCGTTAAGTCACTTCCGATGTTTTGTTGAAAAAAACCCAGTACAACCATATAGTCGATTATTTTATAGATATGGTAGGAAATTCTCCCAAAATGGACATCATACAGGTAAAAAAAATGATTTCAGCCATTCTTAATGAGCTCTACGAACTGGTTCGTCATGGTAGATCGACCGAGATCGATGCATATCTTCATAAGAAGCCTTTCGCTTGTCATATGTTCATGTTATGCGGTAAATTCAAAAACGAGTACCTCAGTCTACTCATGTTGGCTGCTCTTAATGGACATGACGAGGTAGTACGTATCATGCTTACTCGTACTTTGGCCAACAAAAAACAGATCGAACAAGAAGGATCCGTATACGACAGGAGCGGACGCTTAACGAAAAATGTCACTGCATTGTGGTGTGCACTTGACCGAGGACATTTTCATGTGGCACGTACCCTGATTGATCTTGGTGGTGCCGACATTAATCATGGTCTACGAGGTCCATTGTTGATTGATGCTACTATTAGAAGACGGTTCGATATTGTACACTATTTAGTCGAGAATGGTTATGCTGATGTTAATCGAGCAGTGACCAATGATATGTACAAGTGTAGTAGCCTCTTCTTATGTGCAATCACCGGCTGCACACAAATCGCCGACTATTTGATAGCGAGAGGAGCCAACATACATTATCGTCTACCTACCAGTCAGATAACACCATTGCATATTGCTGCTAGAGCTGGTCATTTTGAATTGATCCGCTTGCTTTCATTCGCAGGCGCTTCTTCTGCCGTGAAAAGTAGTTCTGAAATAACGCCATTGATGATCGCGGCTAAGCATGGTCACCTAGACACGGTCAATTTTCTACTTCGATATAATAATGATGAGATAACTTTCAATGACCTTGAACTTGTTTCTACCTCGTTCATGGTCTCCGATGATGGTAATCTGCGCCACAGATCAGAGAAAATGCTGCGCTTATTGCAATTGTCACTCCATACACGCATGCTATTGGATAGACCGAAGACTGTTTCTCCGCCGATAATAGCTTATGATAACCAACGAGAATGTCAATCTCTGAATGAACTGGATCAAATTCAACATGATAATGATCGTCTCTACGTCGAGGCACTCCTTATTCGAGAACGCATTCTTCTACCTCAAAAAAGTGAAAAATTGTTTCAACCATTACTCAAACGAGCAATCGTGTTAGCCGAACGAGCTGAGTTTGAACGTTGTCTAAATTTGTTGTTGCACACATTCTATCTATATCAACAAATGGAGCTTCGCACTAGTCTTCATCGTTTCGTCTGGATCTTCTGCAGGATGTTGAATGCGAATGTACCTATTCATGCTGATCGTTTTTTAGATGCATGCCGTCTTGTTTTCGAACCATCACAACGAACAACGAAAGAAGACATCATTGTGAACGCTGTGTGTCTAGTGGCTCTTGCAGCGAAGGTATGACTGGAATAGTGAGCTCAGTAAGAAGATTGAATTCCGATTAGAAAAATGTTTGTCTGCAAAGATGACCATTAAGGAGAAGGTTAGATAAAACTCTTCTTCTACCCTCCAACAAATTCAAGATTTTTGTGAAACACCATTCTTAATGAGTGTGGAAGCATTTAGCAGGAAAGTTGGCCTTATTCCGTCATCTCCCTTTGCAGACATGTCGATATGCTAATATGAATTTTCGGACTGTAGAATTCCGAATTCTTCAATTCCAAATTAATTTTAAGTTTCGAAGTCCAAAAAATCTATTTTTTTTCTCTGAATGCGGAATTCTAACGCCAATCATAGACTATCACAATACTCCAGAGTTCATACGTATCTCTATAAGAAAAGAATGCTGAAGAGGCATTTTTGTAATATAAATACACTTCACTGAACTCAACAGGATAGGCTGTATACCAGTTGAAATGAAGATCTGGTGTATACGCCTGTCTCGGACTCTATGGAATAGTTTCATAGAATTTAGTTGTATTGTTAGTTTTTGATCCTATTCCACAGATTTTTGCATTTTTTAATAGTGCCGTCGGATAGAACATCAAAATTTATGTACAATAAAAGAGCTTGAAGGAGTAGCCAACTCAGCTACTTGATCAAATGAGTCGTATACGACGAACAGCGACCCATAAAAGAACCCACTTTTTACCGCATAATTGTTGGTTTATTCGTAGTCTGATAGGTGTTTTATATTCTCGAGATTGTATTCAGATAAATTTCGATACTCTAAATTAGAAAACTATTCTTCGAACACTTTTTTCATGTACGCTAAGCTCAAAAGGAGTAGAATAAGATCTATGCAGCCGATGATGTTGTAGTGCATTAGTTTGAAGTTTTTAATATGTATTTAGATCGGAAAAAAGAAGTATGTTGTTTTGCAACTACTAGAGAGTTCTAAGTTCCAAAGCTCTTGTCAGAGCATATCTTGAATTTGTTGGGAGCTAGAAAATAGTTTTATACACCTTTTTATTTTTTCAAGAAGCTCTTGTCTATGAATCGTTTTTCTGTTTGACACATGCACCCTTCAAAACATATACTCTATTGAACAAAACGAAATGAAACATCTGTGGTGAAATATTTACCTTCTAAAATCAATAATTGTCTCAGATATTCGATATCGATCTTAATTGATAAAGATGAAATCATATTTCAAATATCATGAGAAAAGTGAAATATATTTAAAACATATGAAGAACAATGTTTGAGGTTCTTTATAAACATTCAATTTTGTACGAATATCGAGTACTAGCGTTCCCATCCATCTACAATAAAACTTTCCAGTTTTGGTGGCATTAATAGATCACTATATTGATGGATTGAAAAGTATATCTCTTTTATTTCGTTCTGAATTTTAGGTTCTTGAGCAACCAACCGTGAGTAATCGAGATCGTCACTCGATCATTCAATGGATCAAAGACTTGTGTCGAGAGCAACGTCGAACAGAAAATGGACGAACACTGTTGCATTTGAGCGTTGATGTTGAAACATACTGGAAAATTAATTATAGGCCGACAGATATCAGACATATTCTCATGTAAGTGAATTAGAGTCGAAAGTTCCTTTGATAAAGCGAACGTGGCTTTTGAAATGAAAAAAAAATGACTATCTGAATATCCGACAATTTCTTTTCTATTGTTGACGGATTGATCGAAACAGGAAATCAACGATTAGGTACATTTGATTTTCTCGAGGTAGATCATATATTGAGAATAAGTGGTGTAATGACATGTTACATAATATAATTTGATTTATTTATTAAATTGTTGTTCATTTTTAGTTTTCCTAATTTGGCTGCTACTCGATTGCTTGTTTGCTATGGGAAGCGATGGATCGATTTAGATGCTGTAGATCAAGTGCAAAGTGACACTGCTTTACATAAGCTTTCACAGAGTTGGATATTTGATAGTAATAAAGATAAAAAGACAATTGTCGAACTGTTGATCAATGCAGGAGCTCATATCGATTGTGTCAATGCCAATGGCCATAGACCCATCGATGTAGCTACCGACAATGAAATTCACATCCTATTACAATCGAAACAGATATTACCTCGACTCAAATGTCTTTGCGCGCGTGTCATTACTGACCAAAAAATAGTCTACGATGATCTTTGGCCAGCATCAACACCAATGAACACGTTTCTACATTTGCATGGTGGCCTAAAAAGAAAACGCTCCATGTCAGATTGTAATATCACTTCATCCGATGTATATGATGACATTTTTTATTAATGTACGTAGTTAAATAGAATCATATCTGAATTCATGGAGTCATCAAATATATAGTAATCAAGATTTCTATTCGACTTGTCATCTATTTTATAGCGCAAATACAGACTCATCAGAAGATTTTGCTTATTTATTCCAGGAAAAAACTTCTTTTAATTACGTAATTTTCCATCAATATCGGCAAATCGTGTAAAGAAAAATAACAGCACGTGATTTTCAATCATCAATATATTGTCATTGTCTGAGTACTGATCTTGACAATATAATGTATTGAATGCAGTGAAGCAATAGTGATCGATTTGTGAAAGATAATCGTCAGTTCAGTGTAGATATGGGATATCCGGCAAGTTCAGATATTTCTTAGATATCAATAGTAACAAAATAATTAAGCCATAGAATCAAAGTTTTGATGCACAGATAATTTTAATACACATGAAAATGCATTCTTTCTTTGTCAAGTTCAACAAGTGTGACAATGGACAGTGATGATATTCACGTAAGCACCGATTCTTAGGAGAGATCTTGTAATATGAGTGCTTTCTTCAGCTTCAAATTGCAATA